CTATAAGTTGAGAAAAACCCTATAGAAAAGTCATAACGTGTGATCAAGTGTAACAAAGTGTGGGATATTGTGATGCAACATGAGCATGGTTTGAACTATAGGTACAGGCGTCACAAATTTAATCTGGGCTAAAAGTTTTCTTAAGATTAATTAGATCAAATTTCAGTTTAAATTAGATTTTGGAGGATTTAATTGTCACAAATCTAAAGTTTGGGGGACTTCAATGACTGGAAATTAGATCAACTATAAGGTTTGTACTATGTTGATAAATGCAGAAACTCAAATTGCTGGTTTTGCAGCTCAAGAAGAAGTAGTGACGGCTGCGACTCACGTTGCTCGTGGGGCTGGCACAGGTGATTACACCAAACGGTCTTATTCGAATATAATAGAGATCATGGATTCATGCTCGGACAGGTGGCAGGCAGGTGGTCGAGCAGGTCAAGGCGAGGTAGACCACGGTTCAATGTCAACTGTGTGGTAAATTGGGCACTTAGTCGATAGGTGTTGGCACCGTTATAATGATCCTTTCAAATAGTTACTAACACTCAGTCGAGGTATGATGAGGAGTCTGCTCAAGCTCACACTGCTGCATATGACAACTGTAATTGTATGTGCGCCTCGAGAAGAATAAGACCATTTTGAATACTAAGCAAGATTGAGATTTAAATCAAGAACCTTAAAAAGTCTAAGGTCACACGTAATAATGTACCCTTTTTTAAGCATGAAACTCTTTCTCTCCCAAATTTTTATGTTTAGTCATCGATACCCTTCTATTTTCCCTCTCTGTGAAATTCTCGTCATTTGGACTATTGTTATTGTATTTTATCGTCGTTCAACTTTTTCTGATCCAACTTTTTAGGGTTTGGCAGAGGAAGCTAGAGCCGAGTCAACGTAATGGCTAAAAGCTTTACGGCGTTGTCGATGTCGTTTTCTAGTAAACTACTAGTATTTTCTCTATTTTCCCATCTTTTTATTCTTTTATTAGTTTTTCCGTCGTCCTGTATTTGGAAATCACCCTGATATTCGTTGTCAATCTTTGTGTCACTAGTGAATCTTAAACTCTAACCTATACCAAAACCCAAATAAACCCTACCCCACCATAACTCGACCCAATAACTTCTCTAGCCCAAGCTTGCAACATTGACTTGTCTACCAAGCCTGCCTCAATGACCCACTTTACCAGACCCCACATCCTTCGTACCTGGTCCAAGCCTTGATTTGTCACTGCTTTGGGCCTTCTGCTTAGGTCTGCTTAAGACTCATAGTTGTTGAAGTCTAGAACCCCCATGTCACATCGGTGATCCTGGCCCCTACTCAATCTCAAGCCTGTGGGTAAGCTCACCAAACTTTATCTAATTCGTCAAGCTTGACCCATTCCTAAATCAACCCATCATCTGAGCCTTTGATCTGTACTTGATCTAACCTGTTTGACCCATCCGTCTAATCCGCCCATTGACTCAATTTGTTGATCAATGTTAAATTTGATCGTTGACTAAAGTTCACATTGACCATTAATCTACATTAACTTTTTCCTTTTCGATCTGTTTAATCTAATTTATTCCATATTTTGCCGATATTTATGTACTTCTTTATTTATAATTTTTATAAGATTATCCTAGATTTTTAATATCAAATCCAAATCAAGTATCGATTGTTAGTTAGTAGATTATCGTTCCGGATTTGCAACTCTATAAAACTAAAATAAATGTGTGTCTCACTTGTGCTAAAATCTCAAATTTTCATTAAAAGAAAAACTAAGGCACGGTTAAGACAATATTTTCACAATCTGGAGGAACATTTCCCCTGATATGAATAAGAATGTACTCAACTTCGTATCAAGGAAATGTTATCAAAATCATCGGGTTTCGCATGAGCTTGAGAATATCAGAACATAATTCAGTTAGAGTGAAGATTTGGAACATTGCTCACGAACAAAAACGAATCGTTTCAGTATAAGTTTGGTGGTCGAAGTAGCTCACAATGACAATCTCTACACTGTTAAAAAACCTTATCTTTTTAGCAGAACACTACTAGAAATGGAAATGCCGAGATTGTTGACAGATATAAATCGCAATTTAAATTGCTGAAAGCATTAAAGAAACGTTGACCCAATGATTTAACCTTGGTGTGTTACAGATAGACAATGCATGTGACTTTACCTTAAAACCAGCACGTAACCATCAAGCAACGCATGACTATTGCTATTGAAGAAATAAAATAATTCTTGTCGCTTAGAATATTTATTGCAACCATCACAAGCAGCCAAAAGGGTATCATTATTAAAAAGAAACCTTTCTTTTCAATCACCTGCTCTCAAATTGTAACACACTTATAGCAATCATATGTTAAAAGTAATTTTGATATAGTTTATGCCATAATGTCTTAATTTTAGACACCACAATAACTTTTAAGACCAGACTGACTATATCGACCTTCGTTGCTAGATAAGAACCTCAATAGTTCAGCGTAATCAAAGGGCTTATAGAGCAAGGGGTGTGCTTCATCCACTAGCTCCTCCGGTGCCTTTATCATGTGACCTGCTTTCGGGACCGTAAACAGTCCAACGGAGTACCTCGGCTTGTCTCCGGTCAGCATCACGCGGTGATAAGTGGCCTTTAATCGCCCATTTAACCATGCCTGCAATATCATACCAACTTCATCTATTTATCTTCCATCCTTTACATATATATATAATTAGTGGAATGAATACTTACATGGAGAGATTCTCCAATGGTGACGATAAAAGAGTGTTTGGAGGGAATCCAGTCGATCCATTCTCCGGTGCTTCTGCTCTGAAGTCCGAGTCCGTTAACCTCATTTTGGTACAAAATGGTCACCAAGTCCATGTCTGTGTGTGCCCCTAGTCCAACCTGCGGTTCACTGGTTTTTGGTCCTTTATATTTCAATACCTTAAGAAGGTATTCACTCGACTCTATCTGCCCATCCATGTATTTCTCTACTTGGAAAATTTCTAATATCATTCTTCTTATCATTTGATCTAACTCCCTTAATTCCTTTGCGAAGGATTGTATAATTTTGCTGTCAATACATACAAACACATACACAGATGCAATAGTTATCAAGAGCACAAGGAGAAATTACAGGAAAACTAAGTGTATTAAGTTTGGAACCTGAAACTTGTGTTTCCTTGAGGCCAAAACGTACGAGTCTGGGCTTCAACGTTTTCAAGAAGGTGTGCATTATCGAAGCCAATGCTCTCGAACAATGGTATTTTAGGGTGTTGGCCAACATACCCATGGTAAGGCAGTTTGGAAACATTGCGAGTTTTGATTTCCAAAGGCAGATCAAATAGCTCTTCCATGCCTCCAAATATTGTTTCACGAGTCTCCAATGGGATCTTGTCGAACAAAGCCTCGAAGCAACCGAACTCTTCAAGGGCTTGTTGGACTTGCCCTTTCACCGAATCCCACTGATGGGTGCCCGGTTTTAGCTCCGGCTTCGTGAAATCGATGACCGGAAGCTTCGAAGGAGATTGTGAGTCCATTGCTGACCTGCAAAGCACAAGGGAGGTTTGTGAATAGTTAGATGTGTTTATCCTTATCGGTACATGAACGAGGATATGCAAACTATTTTCTTTATAGAATGATGGGTCACGTATGACCTTCGATAAATAAAAAATACTTTTTAGAAAATAAACTTTGTTCGGAAGCAGCATATTTTCAGGACCTTCACATGTTTTCCATTTTATAGGTATCTTAGTTCTTTATAGGTTTAATATATTTTCTAATATTCACTTTTTATATTTTTATTTTTAATCAAAACAATTTTCATGAATAGAAATATTAATAGACTAACCATCAATGTTTATAACTATCCCTTTTGTCCACTATTATGAAAATAAGAATAGGACAAGGACAAAATAACACAATTATTTTAAGTCATAAGCTCTAATATGGATTATGAGATTATAATTTGTTCCTTCATATTTAAGGATGTCGTTTTTTTATGATTTGTTCTTTGTACCCCAATAATTTCAAATCTTGAAAGACAATTTCATTCTTTCGTATTCGATTATGCTAAAATGCATGAAGATAATATATTCATTCATATCCAGAGATGTTATATTCATGTGATGATTCGCTCATTCGTATCTGAGTATGTCAAATATAGGAAATGACTTGCTCTTTCCTACACGAGTATGTCAAGTCTTAAAAAACAACTCCACTCCTTATCCGAGGATGTTGAAAAGTGTATAGATGATGTGCTCATGTGACTTGAAGCAAAGAGAGATGATTTTCTCCTTCAACTTGAAGCGATGAATGAATTGCTCCTTGAACCTTCAAATGATTTGGAGGTTTCAACGGGTATGTGTTTATCATTTTTAACATTGACATTTTAACACTAAAGGTCTTACTGATGGCTGAGAGATCTTTTCATCTAGTTCAGAAGATTTACTGATGGTTGAAAGATCTTTTTATCTAATTCAGAAGTTTTACTGATGGCCTAGAGGTCTTAACCATTTTATCATGCTTTTAACATTATCATTTTCAACATCATGTTTAAGAGGTCTTACTAATAGTCTGGTAGACTTTTTATCGTGCTCAGAAAATTTATTGACAATCCGAAGGTCTTAATTATTTTATCAAACATTATTATTTTTAAGATCATAGTACGACGGTTTTACTGAGGGCTCAAAGATCATTTCATCGTACCTAAAATTCTGATGAGTTTGACACCAAACCATTATTGACTGAAATTTCATTTATTGAAAATGTATGTTTTTAATACCATTCTTCTAATCAACAAAATGATCCTTTTTGAATAAAAACAGTACATTATCCAACTCTATTTTTTTTTAACATGTGAGGTACGTTTCATATAATTTATGATCTTTTATTAAAGACCGACGAATTTTCAGATTCATGATGGTTCTTCGACTTCCTTAATAACTTGGATCATAACTCTAATACCTACTTGTTTGGGCAAACCAAGCAATGATAATGCCGCTAAAATGGCAAAGAAAGTATATGCCAAACTTGAAGTTGAAGGCATAATGTAACACATTTATAGCAACCATTGTTAAAAGTAATTTTGATATAGTTTTTGCCATAATGTCTTGATTTTAGACACCACAATAAGCTTTAAGAAGAGACTGAGGACATCGACCTTCGTTGCTAACTAAGAACCTCAATAGTTCAGCGTAATCAAAGGGCTTATAGAGTAAGGGGTGTGCTTCATCCACTAGCTCCTCCGGTGCCTTTATCAAGTAACCTGCTTTCGGGACCGTAAACAGTCCGACAGAGTACCTTGGCTTGTCTCCGCTCAGCATCACGCGGTGATAAGTGGCCTTTAACCGCCCATTTAACCATGCCTGCAACATCATATATCATACCAACTTAATCTATTAATCTTCCATTCCATAATTTGCATATATAATTAATGGAACGACGACTTACATGGAGAGATTCTCCAATGGTGATGACGAAAGCGTCTTTGGATGGAATCCAATCGATCCATTCTCCGGTGCTGGTGCTCTGAAGTCCCAATCCGTTAACCTCATTTTGGTACAAAATTGTCACCAAGTCCACGTCTGTGTGTGCCCCTAGTCCAGCCCGCGCTTCACTGGTTTTTGGCCCTTTATATTTCATTACCTTAAGAAGGTATTCACTTGACTTCATGTGCTCATCCATGTATTTCTCTACTTGGAAAATCTCTAATATCATTCTTCTTATCATATGACTTAACTCCCTTAATTCCTTTGCAAAGGATTGTAAATTTTGCTGTCAATACATACAAACACATACACAGATGCAATAGTTATCAAGAGCACAAGGAGAAATTACTGTAAAACTAAGTGTATCAAGTTTGGGACCTGAAACTTGTGTTTCCTTGAGGCCAAAACGTACGAGTCTGTGCTTCAACGTTTTGAATAATGTGTGCATCATCGAAGCCGATGCTCTCGAACAATGGTAATTTAGGGTGTTGGCCAATATAACCATAGTAAGGCAGTTTGGAAATATTGCGAGTTTTGATTTCCAAAGGCAGATCAAACAGCTCTTCCATGGCTCCAAATATTGTTTCCCGAGTCTCTAAAGGGATCTTGTCGAACAAAGCCTCGAAGCAACCTAACTCTTGAAGGGCTTGTTGGACTTGCCCTTTCACCGAATCCCACTGATGGGTGCCCGGTTTTAGCTCCGGCTTCGTGAAATCGATGGCCGGAAGCTTCGAATGAGATTGTGAGCCCATTTTCTGACCTGGAAAGCACAATGGAGGTTTGTGAATAGCTAGATATATTTATCCTTATCAGTACAATGAATGAGGATGTGTGAACTCTTCTTTTTATAGAATGATAGATCACGTTTAACGTCCAATAAGTATTACTTTTTAGAAAACAAAATTTGTTCGTATGCATCATATTTTCAGGACCATCACGTTTTTTCCATTTTATTGATTTATTTTGTTTACACGGGACACGTTTTGGGCATATTTAAAGAAAACTTGATGTGTTAATTGTCATCTTGTAATTATAAGTTTGTTGATCATCATTTTGATCGGTTGCGAACTATTTCACTTTGACTTCAGTTATAAAAAATTTATTATTTTTTTAAGTTTTGAGTTCGAGCATTAACAATATTAAATATTACCTTATACGTATCTCAAATTAATAAAAAAAAGTGTTTGGTGGTGAATATTTAGATGAGAATAAGGGTTATATGTATAAGAGTGTGGATTCATTAGGATAATTATATCAATATTTTTTCCCCTAATATAGAAAGAGAATAATTAAAGTCACATCCTCATTAAAGTTGAGAAGAATTAAACACAACAGGGTCACCGACTTTCTCATCCAACTCATGAATTGAAACACTCTAAAATCATAATTGAAGTGATGAACTTTCATTCACCAACTCATGAATTGATTACTTTTGGTTCAACTGTCCAGCATTTCTCCATTAGCTACTGTGATGGTCAAGGGTTGAGTAATGACCACTCTATCTCTTCTTTTGTCCATCTTGCAGTTATGGAACTGTTGGTGCTGCCACCTCCAATGAGTATGTGTTAGAACCAAACCATAATAATTATGAAAATATTTGGATTTAATTATGTCAAATCATTAAGAATAAAATACTATATGTGGAAATGTACATGAATATGTTGAAATCATTCGATGTATCTTTGGTTGTATTCTTTCAAGAAGATATGTTTGCTCTTTTAATTAAAACTCAGATAGGAGTAAAACAAATTATCATATTTCTTGGGGACTATTACCTCTTTATATATAATGAATATCATATCAATCTATTAAATATTTATAATTATGTTCCTCGTCAAATTATTATTAATTTTTTAAAAAGAAGAGGAGCCTCCTTAAAAATCTTCATATTCGAGTTCAAGTCGAGATTCGTACCCAAATAACGGAAGAGAAAATAATACCCAAATATTTTATTAATACCAAAAGCCTAAACATCATTAGTTCTAATATCAAGCCATACTTTTCGGGCAACAAAATTCAAAAAAGCCTCATACTCCATAACCCATGACCCTGGTCCCCTAATTACCGCACATGAAACTCCTTACCCACATAGCCACCTACCAGAGCATGCTTGTAGAACACCGCAAAAAACACAGTAAACACCCAAAAGAACGCATCAACCATTTTTAACATCTAATAAGTAATTTTGATATAATTTATACCGTAACATTTTTCTCTCAGTAATGTATGAATTTTATTGAAGGAAAATGGTTATACATGATTACCATATGCCTCATTAAAAAACCCCTCCAAGTAGAAGAGGAAAAAGAGCACATAATGATGATCAAGGTTACAAAATGTCTTAATTTTTAACACCACAATAAGCCTCAAAACCAGACCGATTATGTCGACCTTTGTGGCTAACAACGAACTTCAATAGTTCAGCGTAACCAAAGGGTTTATAGAGTAAGGGGTGTGCTTCATCCACTAGCTCCTCCGGTGCCTTTATCATGTAACCTGGTTTCGGGACCGTAAACAGTCCGACGGAGTACCTCGGCTTGTCTCCGGTCAGCATCACACGGTGATAAGTGGCCTTTAACCGCCCATTTAACCATGCCTGCAACATCATATACCATACCGACTTAATCTATCTTCCATCCTTTGCATATATATATATATATATATGATTAATGGAATGAAGACTTACATGGAGAGATTCTCCAATGATGACGACAAAAGCGTCTTTGGACGGAATCCAATCGATCCATTCTTCGGTGCTGCTGCTCTGAAGTCCCAATCCCTTAACCTCATTTTGGCACAAAATGGTCACTAAGGTCATGTCCGTGTGAGCCTCTAGTCCAACTTGAACTTCACCGGTTTTCGGCCCTTTATATTTCATTATCTTAAAAATGCATTCACTCGACTCCATGTGCTCATCCATGTATTTCTCCACTTGGAAAATCTCTAATATCATTCTTCTTATCATTTGACTTAACTCCGTTAACCCCTTTGCGAAGGATTGTATAGTTTTGCTGTCAATACATACAAACACATACACTGATGTAAGATTTATCAAGAGCACAAGCAGAAATTACAGGAAACTATTAAGTTTAGAACCTGAAACTTGTGTTTCCTTGAGGCCAAAACGTACGACTCTGGGCTTCAACGTTTTCAAGAATCTGTGCATCATCAAAGCCAATCCCTCGAGAAATGGTATTCTAGGGTCTTGGCCAATATAACCATAGTAAGGCTGTTTGGAAACATTGCGACTTTTGATTCCAAAGGAAGATCAAATAGCTCTTCCGCGGCTCCAAATGTTGTTTCCCGAATTTCTAAGGGATCTTGTCGAACAAAGCCTCGAAGCAACCGAACTCTTTAAGGGCTTTTTGACTTGCCCCTTCACTGAATCCCAATGATCAGTGCCCGGTTTTAGCTCCGGCTTCGTGAAATCGATGGCCGGAAGCTTCCAAGGAGATTGTGAGCCCATTTCCATCTTGCAAAGCACAACGGAGGTGAATAGTTAGATGTGTTTATCTGTACATGAATGAGGATATGCAAACTACTATTTTTATAGAATGATGGATCACGTCACGTCCAAGAATATTACCTTATTATATTGTAGTTACGGTCTTCTCAAGTATTACCATAGGTGGCACAACCTTGATTTCACATTTGATACGAGTTGTGGTCTGTGTACGAGTGAGTGTTTGATCAAGTCGAGTAAAATTTTTTTAGTTATTTGAGTTGACGAATCCTATTTTGTAATCCGAACTTGACTTGAATTTTTTTCCAAGTCAAGTTGAATTTATAAAATTTGAGTCGAGTAGAGTTGAATTTTTGAGTTTCTATTTAAATTTAATTGTAATATTTATAATATTTGATATTATTTGATTCCAATTTAAATTATTTTTTATAATCTTATACAATACATATATATATATATATATATTTTTTTTTCTTATGTGATATACATACATATATCATTCATAGTCGATGATTCAACTCAAACTTGAAAATCAATCACAAATTACTAAAATTTCGAGTTATTCGATTGTATTTTAAAACACATTTGAACTTGAATTTTTTTCGAGCCGATCGAATTTATGAAATTACAACTCGAAATTAATTCGAGTCAAATCAAATCAAAAAATCAATTTTTGAATCAAGTCGAGTTTTGCATCTCTAATCCTATGGATAATTCATTCTAATCCGTACACTAAAACAACTTTGATAAGAGTTGGCCCTAGTCTGGTTGATTAGAATCATGCATCATATCTTCAGGAGTAATCATAATTTTAATTTTTTTTTTAAAATAATATAATTAATAAGTTAAGAAAAATAAATTATATTTTTAAAATCTAATCCAAATAAAATATTATGAGTTTGTATTTATACATAAGATATAGTATATATATTAAATGTTGTCTTTATTATAAAGAATAACAGGTTTGGCTCAATGGTTGGGGTATGTAAACTTACCCAGTTGACCTTGGTTTGATTCTCTTGGGTTACCTATGCATGATTTATTTTTCATCAATCAGAGGTGACATGATACCATTTGATTTGAGGATTAAATTTATTTTAATTTATTAAAAATATTACTAAATTGAGAGAATTATAAATAACAGAGATTAAATATGTAATTAAGATAAAATATTTAATTCCCATGTCACCTAATCCGTTAAATATTAACAACAAGTGATTTGATTAATAACAATCAAAATTAGATGGTCTAATTGATAAAATTAAAAGATTGATAGTTAAAGTAAAAAGATTAAATAATTAAGTGATCAATATAATTTATTCTTTTATTTATATAACAATTATATCAAAATATAACTAATAAAACATTTTAGACTAGTGAATAAGGCGTGAACTTTCCCCTAATACAGGCTTGGGTCCAATACCTCTCAAGGCCAAAATCTGTAATTAGATGAGATTTTTTTTATTATTTTATTAATCTAGGATATGCTTACAAGTAGTAGTATCAGTTTTAAAGACTCTTAATTATTTGACAATTAACGCTCAAATACCTTATAGTATTTGATACTTGAACCTGAGACGTTTAGAAATTACAATTATTCTTTCAACTATTGAAGGATTACTAGAAATATGCAAAATATAGTTTAAGTATTTAAAATTAAAAAAATGTTATAATTGAGGGGTTATTTTATAATAAAATTAAAAAACTACAACTCTAAGTTTGACTTGACGAATTAATAATTATGGGTTGAGTTCAGGTTAAAAATTTCAAATCTTAAAAATACATAAATAAATTTTAATCAAACCAATCCATTATTTTTACGCACAATAGAAATTTCAGAGTACAAAACCAACATACTTTGTAATAACAAATAAGGGCTTTCATCACTCGACAGCAAACAAGAGGGAAAGAATTGCATATCCGAATCAAACACCACAATAAACTTTAAGAGCAGACTCGGCTTTTTGACCAGCCTCCGTGTAATAGAACCCCATGAACTTAACGTGATCGAAGGGCTTAAACAGCAAAGGGTGTTCTTCATCCACCACCTCATCAGAAGCATTTATTGTGTATCCTGCTTTCGGGATCGAAAACAGTCCCGCCGAGTACCTCGCCTTGTCTCTGGTCATCATGACTCGATGATAAGGAGCATACACTCGACCATTTAACCATGCCTGCAACATTCAAAGACGCATCAATTTCATTCAATTAATTAGTCTGCACAACAACAAAGAACAACAAAACATGAGGAAACTTACATAGAGGGATTCTCCGATCATAACAGTAAAAGACTGCTTGGAGGGTTTCACATTGATCCATTCTCCTTCTTTGGTCTGAACCTCCAACCCATCAACCTCGTTTTGGTACAATATGGTCACTACGTTCTTGTCGGTATGACTGTTTAATCCCAGTTTTGTTTCTGTTGTTTCTGTCCCTTTGTATTTCATTACCCTCAGAAGATAATTCGTTGAATCCATGTGTTCATTCATGTATTTTTCAAGTCCAAAACTCTCCAATACCATCCTCCTGATATTTCGATCCAATTCTGATAATTGTTGCGAAAAAGATTGTATAGTTTTGCTGGAAAAGAAAACAGCATCATTAGCTCAAAAAATCAGAAGCAAAATTGTCCTACGCAGAATTTTATATTAAAATAATATATAAAATGTATGATAATTTAAAATCTTCATGAGACAATTGTACTGCTCTCGAACCATTTCTGCCTACAAAATTTATTATGAGAAAGGAACCTGAAACTTGAATTTCCTTGAGGCCATGAAGTATTGGTCAGGGCTTCAACTTTTTCAACAACGTCTGCATCATCGATGCCCTGCTTTCGTATAACGGGACTTGAGGGTATTGGCCAACGTAACCATGATAAGGCTTCTTGGAAACATTGCGGATTTTGGTTTGTAAAGGCAGATCGAAAAGCTCTTCCAAGGATCCGAATATCGACTCTCGGAGGTTGATCGGGATCTTGTCGAATGTAGCCTCGAAACAACCGTAGTCTCGAAGGGCTACGTGGACTTGGCCTTTCACCAGATCCCACTCGTTCGTGCCTGGTTTTAGTTCTGGCTTGCTGAAATCGATTACAGGGAGCTTAATTAGAGGAGTTTGAGAGTCCATTTCTGATGTAAAAATGTGCACAAATTTTTGTTGGGTTGAGAATTTTCATGTAAATGAGCCGATATATAGTGCTGCACTGATGTTCTGTATGCTTAGGGGTGAAGTTCCATCAATAAGATCAAATTGAAGATAAAAAGAATATATCAAAGAATTGTTGTTTTATGATTAAGAATCGGCAGAGCAAAGATTCTTTTAACTATTTATGTTTATCTTTTTGCCCATACAACCATTCCAAATTATACTATATTCTTCGTAGTAACAGACATAATTTCATGTTAAGGGTGAATTTATAAAATTTTAAGGAGTAAAAACAATTTTTAATAAACAATATATAAGAATTTGAAAGTTTTAGTGAGACGACCGCCTTTACTCGCCCCTCTAACTTCATCCCTGTTCTTTAGCCTGATAGAGTCAGTAGGGGACCTGAAGAGGAGCTCAATCATAATTGAAGCACAAATAATAGGGGAAAAAGGTTACATCTCACATACTTATAAATTGTGTAACCCCCTCAGACCGATGCGGATAGTCCAATCCGATCTGGAGTGTCACATTAGGGCCACCGGAGCGACCCACTGTAAAAATAGCAAAAAATTTAAAACTTTTATTAAAACATGTAAAATCATAAAATGATTTATTAATATTCAGAAATAAAATAGGTTTTCAGACTCAGATATACAATTATATGCCCCCTAATCACATATACCATTCTCTGCAAGCAATGCCGGAACTACTCCATTATTGATGTCGATAGCTACACTGGTACAATTCTTTTAACCTGCAATGGTGAGTAATAGAGTAAGCTTCAGAAAGCTCAGTAATACAGAACTACCAGGTGATGTATAGGACATACAGATAAATGGAAAGTCATATGATTTCCTTATTGAATCAGACATACCATTTTTGGGATAATCTGGGGTTCCATTAATTGTTCATTGAGTAGAATCCATGAAGATCTTAGGTCATAGGAAGCATTCATATTATGACATTTTCAGGATATCGAATAGGATGTCTAGTGTGTTCCAAAATACGATAAAATCATAATAGGTACACTAATCAAATGATGGTTCAGTAAATCTTATAAATCATACTATAGTGGAGTTTTTTAAACTCGTAGTTTAAAACCATCATATAAAGAGTTAACCTAAGGGAACATCTTAGGGCCTAGAGCCTACCCAAGAAAGTTCGGGACAAGGCCTACCTAAGAACACATCTTAGGGCCGCAAGGCTTATTCGAAAATGATCTCAGGGCCGCAGAGCCTACCTAAGAGTCACATTAGGTCTATAAAAATTTTTCAACTTGATCAGAGCTGTACTTTACAAATCAGTATCTCCAAGATACAATTATACCGTGATACAATTACATAAGCCATCACCATTAAGTCGATGCATCCATAAAACAGTAACCATAGATTTCAGTGTACCTCATGTTAAAACAATAAAACAATTTATTAATATATAAGGAACACACTAGAGAAATCCAAATATTTTTCAGGCATTTTGTAGTTATCAGTATGGATAACATGAAACTTGTGCAATTTGATCGAATTCCAGGAACAATGCCCTATTGAAGAGAATCAATTACTAACTGATCTAATCAGACATTTAAGGTTAATACTTTAGAATCCCACTATGTTTTCATGTGCATCATGAAAAAGTTTAGAATGATCGGAGTGATTTGAGCTAATAAAGGAGAAGCAGAGATTCCAGACATTTACAATTCATGTAGATCGATCGGTTTATCGAACAATTAGAACTGAACAACTCTTAGAACTAATGCATGTCGACCGTTAATTTGTTGCCTTTCCAGGGTATTCACTCTTTAATACAATTCTTGTCCATAAATCATCTTTCGTAATCATCGCTGAATAGATCTTCTAAATGTCTTTATTTCATTTCCACGTTTCAACGATATCAGAAAATACTAACGTACTTGATTCATGGTTCAT